CCCAAAGATTACGTGATCGTCTCGTTAATAAGTAGGTCTATAATCACTACTGTAGGCTATGTAATCCGACAAAGTTTGAATAATATTCATTATAAATATAATGCACTGTAACTGTAACAGTCACCATTACCACAGTGACGTTGTTGTTAATGCTTCTACTGTTTCTTGTACATTCTACTGCCCCCCCAGGATTTCGCGGTCTTGCGACCGCAATAAAGCCGCAGTTTTTTTTCAATTTTCGCAATTTCTTGCAATTTTAGGCAAAATAACATCACCGCTTTAATTTTAACGGAACTTTAAAATCGAAATGGTGCTAGTACAGAGCCGATAGGCAAACGTAAATCATGGTTTCGGCCCAGCTCTAGTCTAATGGGCGTACTCCGAAAGCTATAACCTGAAATTTAGGCCGCGAATACATCATGTACAACACAAACTGAGACATAGTGATCTAATGTGTTTAAGATTAAGCCTGCGCGAGTGATAAGAAAGTAGGTGTGTGTGGTGTGCATATGTGTGTGTGTGTGTGTGTGTGTGTGTGTGAGCGCACGTGTGAATATTGTTCGCACATGATGCATGTGTCTACATACACGGGAGCCGGGCACCTAGTCTCAGTATTCTACGTACACGGTAACCGGAATGAAAATAAATCAATAGATTTTTAAATTTTTTTGTAAGTGTTTTACGGCGCTCGCAACTGCATAAGGTCATATGAGCGCGCGGCACACACCTAATACATGTACTTTTAGTTGGAAGGAAATATTGAATTTTGCCCTGGTGGCGGCCGAAGCCTACTCTTATCGATTTTAGACCACCAAGGGATCTTTAACGTGCGCAACTTGCACTCGGGCCCTCCGAGATTTTTAGCCCTTGTCCGAGAAGGCTAGGTGTAGATCTTTCCTACCAGAAGATCAGGGGTGTGGCAAAAAGACAGCTATAAGAAGGAGTCAAGGGGTAGCAGTAGAAAGACTGCAGAAAGAGTCAGGAGCCCAGGGGAGGGGACAAAGGAGGTGAGGGGGTGGGGTCAAAAAGAGGAGACGAAAGCAGACGACAGAATATTGCTAGAGAGCAGGGAAGGAGGTGAAAGGAGACAATTTTAGAGAAGAAAATTTTTCGGTTGCTACCCGGACTCGAACCCGGAACCTTTGAATGAGAGGCCAACACCTTAACCTCTAGGCCACGAGAGTCCCCAATCAATATTTGTCCTGTGCTGTCATTTGTTGAAAAAAAAAAGAAAGTCATACATGTACAAGCGTCTTGTCGGGCTCGCCATCGTGACCGGTCAGCGAACCTGTTGTTTCGCATCACATTGTGAGTACCAGTTGGGGTCACCAAAGTTCATTCAAAGTCTGTGCGCTGCGAAGTATAGGGCTCCGGATTTGGGGGATATATAAAAGATTATTGATTTTTTTTAAAGGTACAGTTGGGAGATGGATGGGGTTGAAGCTAGACGGTCAGAGATCACCGGATGACAAAAACTGAACTTGGAGTTCTGAACTGCCTGGTTACCGTGGTGTATGTGACGACACTGAGACTATCTGCCCGGTTGCCGGTTACCATGTACGTTGACACGGAGGTTAGGTGCCCGGTTACCGTGTATGTAGACACTCAATAAATGTAAGACGCCTTAAGCTGCGTTCACACGGGAGTGGTCGCTATAGAAATGATTTACATTATTATTACTATTATTATTAAATGGAGAAAAAAAAATTGCTGTATTTTACGATTTGTCTTGGAGTTAAAACAATACCATACTGGTTTTAAAAAAGAAAATATCTGAAATATATCTATCTAAATACAGATTACCGGTGTATCGAAAGTATCAAGAGAAAAATAGAATAGGATCTGAATTGATTGGGGTATAAGCTAATTTTGCTTGTTCGAATCTCCCATCATTTTAAAAACTTTTTTATGAACTAAACCTCATACTACACTTCTAGATCTTTGCATGAACCAAGTACCCGGCTACTAAATTTGGTTAAATTTTATGCCTACATTTAAAAGTTATTACGAAAACCGAGAGTTCCATTATTTCGGGTCACGCGGTATTATATTATCGATATATTTGGTTGATAACTTTATTGTTAACGTACTCGTGTGTTGTTACAAGTAAATGTTGTTAATAAAATTTGTACTGTGGGTCATGATTTTTTTAAAGGCTGTTCTGCTTTTACATGACAATTTGAGTACCGTAGCATAAAAGCAGAACAGCCTTTTAAAAAATCATGAACTAAAAATGTTAAGCCCATATTAATTTATGGAGGGGGGCTTTCGTGGCCTAGAGGTTAAGGTGTTGGCCTCTCATTCAAAGGTCCCGGGTTGGAATCCGGGTAGCGACCGAAAAATTTTCTTCTCTAAAGTTGACTTTTTTCACCTCCTTTCCTGCTCTCTAGCAATATTCTGTCGTCTGCTTTCGTCTCCTCTTTCTGCCCCCACCCCCTCACCTCCCTTGCCCCCACCTCTGGGCTCCTGACTCTTTCTGCAGCCTTTCTACTGCTACTCCTTGACTCCTTCTTACAGCTGTCTTTCTACCACACCCCTGATCTTCTGGTAGGAAAGATCTACACCTAGCCTTCTCGGACAAGGGCGAAAAATCTCGGAGGGCCCGTGTGCAAGTTGCGCACGTTAAAGATCCCTTGGTGGTCTAAAATCGATAAGAGTAGGCTTCGGCCGCCACCCGGGCAAAATTCAAAATTTCCTACCAACGAAAAAGTATTAGGTGTGTCCCGCGCGCTCGTATGACCTTATGCAGTTGCGAGCGCCGTAAAACCCTATACTAAACAAACAAACAAAAACTTATGGAGCTGTCGTTGCTGCTATTGCAACAGCTGTTGCTAATGTTATTGTGGTTGCTGTTCCTACTGCTGTTGTGGCTGCTGTTGCTACTGCTGTTGTTGTTGCTACTGTTGTTGTTGCTGCTGCTGGTGCTGCGCTGACATTACTGTACTTATTATAATGGTACTGGAACTTCTTCTATTACTACTGTTACTCTGATTTCACTGGTACTGTTGCCATTGACACCTCCTGCTGCTGTTGTAGCAGCTGCTGACATTACTATACTGTAATTAGTACTGGCACTGCTAATTGTTCGATTACTGCTGCTACTGTGCTTAATTTTTTTTGTATGTGTTTTACGGCGCCCACAACTGCATAAGGTCATATGAGCGCGCGTCACGCAGTAAACATTTTCAGTTGGAAGGAAATTTTGAATTTTGCTCGGGTGGCGGGCGGCCGAAGCTTTCTCCTAACGATATTGGTCCACTAAGGGATCTTGGTGTGTGCAGCTTGCATACGGGACCTGTGAGATTTTACGTCCTTGCCCGAGAAGGAGGTGTTGATCTTTCCTACCACGAGATCAGGGATGCAGCTGAAAGACAGCAGTTAAGAAGGAGCCAAGGAGTAGTAGTAACTAGAAAGGCTACAGAAAGAGTCAGGAGGGGGCAAAGGAGGTGAGGGGGAGGGGGCAGAAAGTGGAGACGAAAGTAGACAACGGAACATTGTCAGAGAGCTGGAAAGGGTGTGAAAGGAGACAGTTTCAGAGAAGAAAATTTTTTCGTCGCTATCCGGATTCGAACCCGGGACCTATTGAATGAGAGGCATACACCTTAATCTCTAGACCACGAGAACCTGTGTGTGTGTGTGTGTGTGTGTGTGTGTGTGTGTGTGTGTGTGTGTGTGTGTGTGTGTGTGTGTGTGTGTGTGTGTGTGTGTGTGTGTGTGTGTGTTTGAGTGCTTGTGTTTGTACGTGCATGCGAGCGAGCGCGTGCCGGTGCGTGTTTGTGTGTGTGTGTCTGTGTGTGTGTTTAAGAGAGAGAGAGAGACAGGGAGTGAGAGAGAGAGAGAGAGAGAGAGAGAGACAGACAGAGAGAGAGAGAGAGAGAGAGAGAGAGAGAGAGAGAGAGAGAGAGAGAGAGAGAGAGAGAGAGAGAGAGAGAGAGAGAGAAGGGGGTGGGGGCACAAGCGCACACGAGCATAATTTAAAGACACCCCTTTCTCAGATTCCCAGAAAGTTAAAGCAAGGCAAGCAAAGAAAAAGGGCACCTCAAAACAAACGAACAAAAATATAACAAACAATCAAACAAAACCAACCCCCCCCCCCAACAACAACTAAAAACATAGCTCAGCCTACGAATCCTCAAATGCACACAGAGCACAGAGTCTTTCATACATGAATCAGCTCTCTCTCTCTTTCTCTCTCTTTCCCCCTGTCTGTCTGTCTGTCTGTCTGTCTGTCTGTCTGTCACACACACACACAAACAAACACACACACACACACACACACACACACACACACACACATACACACACATACACGCGCGCGCGCGCGCGCGCGCCCTGTCCTCATATCAATTGAACCTCATACGCATGTATACCTAAGTAGGCTTTCTCAGTTCTCTGAGAAGGCCTAGATACCTAAGGAGTTTGGAACTAATTAACTCCTTGATGTATACACGTCACTGTCTCTAAGTGTATCTCAGAGGGTAGGCCTATACGTGATTTAAGACAATATATTAGAACATTTTAACGTGACAACTTGACACGTAATTGATAAAAGTTGTTAGAAAAAAGCCTTGATTCTGGCTAATTTGACAAAACATGCACCCTACACATTCTGCTGAAAGCTGGTAATCTTTTTATTCTATTATCCTATAACATCTAAAACAATCCCGATAACTCTGTTCTATATTTGGGATGATAGGACAGGATTCAGTCGTAAAACGTCTGTGGATCCTAGGTGGTTTCCCTTGAAGAATCAAGGTTTCTTGCTAAATTGGCCGCAAATATATATACTGACTTTTCAAGTGTAATATTTAGGCATAAAAAGAAAAATGAGACTTTGAATATACATTTTGAAGAATTTAATTGCCACTGAAATTTAAATTCGATGTATGAATTTGGTTTTTTTTTTGGTCATTTTTCTTTCAGTGTTTGAAGAAAACCCCCAAAATTTTACATTTTTGTGTGAAAAAAAGCGCTACAACCTGGCAACTCACCCAGCCCAGTTCACATCGCCACAGTTGTCTTACAAAATGGCGACAGAGAAGTTTTTGTAAACAAAATAAGTGAGGTGAGGAAAAATGCATTCTGCGTCTGAGTTGGCTAACTCTAATTACACATCCCCTCATAGAATACAATACACTTCCTAATTCATGTGAGCATGCATCTCATAATAGCAAAATTTTGCCTCAGGCGGTCCAGCAATCCAGTTGTCAAGATCATCTTGTCTAGCCCTGCCCTGGCTGCATTAGATCTCTAGTCCTGCAGACTGCGTTCACTCGCCAATTTCGGGTGGATTCTTCCTGAATTAGAAAACTTGGATGTGCATGACCGAGACAATTGTAATGGTGAATGATAAAAAAGAGAACTGATACCTATTATTATAAGTCTACAATTAGTCTAGATCTAGGTCTCTAGATATAGAATCTGAAAGTGGCTATTCTCACCCGCCCGGAAGTTCTCGCAAGATCAACTCCTCCCCTCTTCTCTCTCTCTCCGTCTCTTTCTGAATACTGTCTATCGGTGTGGATGATCAAATTGACCAAAACAAAGTTAAAAAAATGATGTTAAAACACAAAAGTAAATTAATTTGGTTGTCTACAAAGATGCTACGGCTATTTAACTTTTCGAATCGAGCCGAACTACGCGGGTCGCCATTTTGTTTTGCCCGGAAATTCTCGCGCTACTCCTCTCTCTTTCTCTCTCTCTCTCCACTGCCCACAGACAAAATTGTACGCTTTTAGTAGGCTACAGTTGTAATGGAACGTTTGTTCACGGCCCAGAATTCTACAATTTTTCTGTTATCACAGTGTAGAATTCTGTGGTTTAGGGTGAACGCAAAATTTGGTGAACGCGCACCGGATGAGAATAGCCACAAGACTCGCCTGCACTATTCTCACTCCGGGTGAGAATAGAGGTGGCCATAGAATCTATCTGATGATCTATTTTTGAAGGAAATGGCTATCCTCACCCGGGATGAGAATAAAAATACGATCGACCTCTCACCCTGGGTGAGACTTGCCAGCGTTGGCTATTCTCAGCACTTCCTTACCAAAAGCTCTATTCTCACCCCGGGTGAGAATAGCGCAGGCGAGTGTGTGCGTTCACCGTTATAGCCTGGCCACCTCTATTCTCACCTGGAGTGAGAATAGTGCAGGCGAGTCTTGTGGCTATTCTCACCCGGTGTGCGTTCACCAAATTTTGCGTTCACCCTAAACCACGGAATTCTACACTGTGATAACAGAAAAATTGTAGAATTCTGGGCCGTGAACAAACGTTCCATTACAACTGTAGCCTACTAAAAGCGTACAATTTTGTCTGTGGGCAGTGGAGAGAGAGAGAAAGAGAGGAGTAGCGCGAGAATTTCCGGGCAAAACAAAATGGCGACCCGCGTAGTTCGGCTCGATTCGAAAAGTTAAATAGCCGTAGCATCTTTGTAGACAACCAAATTAATTTACCTTTGTATTTTAACATCATTTTTTAACTTTGTTTTGGTCAATTTGATCGTCCACACCGATAGACAGTATTCAGAAAGAGACAGAGAGAGAGAGAAGAGGGGAGGAGTTGATCTTGCGAGAACTTCCGGGCGGGTGAGAATAGCCACTTTTTTATAGCCTAGGCCAACCAGTGTAGCGTTCACCCTGAACCACAGAATTCTACACTGTGATAACAGAATTGTAAAATTCTGTGCCGTGAACAAACGTTCCATAACTACTGTCTAAAGCCTAAAAGCGTGCAATTTTGTTTGTGGGCAGTGGAGAGAGAGAGAAAGAGACAGAGAGGAGTAGCGTGAGAACTTCCGGGCAAAACAAAATGTTGAACCGCGGAGTTCGGCTGTATTCGAAAAGTTAAATAGCTGTAACTGTAACATCTTTGTAGACGACCAAATTAATTTACAACTTAAATGTGTTTTATCATCATTTTTTAACTTTGTACTTTGTTTAGGTCAATTTGATCGTCTACACCGATAGACAATATTCAGAAAGAGACAGAGAGAGAGAGAGAGAGGAGTAGATCTTGCGAGAACTTCCAGGCAAAACAAAATGGCAACCCGCGTAGTTCGGCTCCATTCGAAAAGTGAAATAGCCATCATCTTTGTAGACGATCAAATTAGCTTAGGCCTACTAAGCTTTTGTGCTATAACATCATTTTTTCTGTGCTTTTGAGTATTAAATTGCTACGACACCTTGGTCTGAGTTGAAGAAATTTGTCAGACCATTTCTTGAGTCGAGACCTCTACTCTCATTTTCTTTTGCAGCATGTCTTTATTTAAAATCATTACTGCATTCTTTGTTTCATCTGTACTTATAATTTCACTCATTTTAATAACATCTGTGGCTATTGTTATACTTGCCTATAAAAGTAGTACATGATGTACTTGTCTTTTCCCGAATTGTTTGGTTGCTCAACAGGGACATTGACTTTTTTTATATGAATGTATTGAATCGTGGTCGCTTCTATCATACTGGTTTTATTGTGTTTATTAGTGTCTTCTGATTATTCAACCTTTTGTTTTCTAACTTGAGGGTGTTATTTTTTCTCTCCAGAAATGTAGTTGGCCTTTTGCAGCACAGCGTTGCTCAGCCACAGAGTGAGGAGAGCTGGTTGTGAAAGCCGTTGTTACATCATGGATGTAGTTCTAGCAGTGTTGAGGCCGAAGCAAAGCCAGGCTACCCAGAGTCAGAGCTACAGGCCTCAGCTCTATGAAATCCTGCTTCTGGACAGCAAGACCCCTCAAGGGGAAAAGGTCAGATTATGATGCTGTACATTGCTTTGTATTGGTATAAAAGAACTTGGACTCTTTGTTGGGCGTACAAAAATGCAAGACTTCTTGTAGGTAGTATCAACAAGTGAATTGTTGATGGATTACTTTACATAACTGTATTCTGTGAACCCGACAGTTGTCTCGTGTCAGCGTAGATGCTTTTTTAAAAATCATTTATGAGAGCATTGACTTAATTTCATTCTTTTTAATCTTTGTAGATAAATTTTGGTACACAGAGAGCAGTTGGAAGCAAGTGAAGTCATAGATGGTGGTTTTTATAATTCTGGCTTGAATACTTATCTTTAGTTTATTATTCAAAAATTGCATTAAAGTGTTTCAGCAAAATTGGAGGTACTTTTATATTTGCTTAAGCATATGGATTGTACAGTAGTTTAATTAAAATTGTGTTTGCACTTCAGTAAGCAGCCACGTCTCACAGAAAGTTCTTTATTTGTTGACCAGGTGAAGCCAGCCAAGTACCTCCCGATGCTGCCCATGAAGACTGTGGAGGAAGAACCAAGGGAACTGGTGCTTACACAGGTCTACAGACTCACGGGCATTAAAGGTACGCTGTGTCTGACACTCTTTTGTCTTGCTACTACACTACCGATGCTGTGTTTGAGTTATTGTTAGTCTGCATGAATGATGAAATAAGTTTGGTTTCAAATAAAACCAAAGGTGTATCAGCAAAAAATAGTGAACAGAGGAGGTGGAAGACCATTGTGGCCATGTTGTCTTGGAAGCTTCATGGATGTAAGAGATAAAGATTCCAATTATAAGGCTGAAGGTAAAATTTAACCTTTTTTTGTGACAATGAGAAGACAACAATGGAACGTTTAAGCGAAAACATGTTTTTAGTTGAAACATGTGATTTAAAAATTATTTTTTTTAGTGTATGTAAGAAAAAAGTGGGAAACAATAATTTTATACTTTGTCATTGCTGTAGGTGAGAGGGCTCTGCAAGTCCAGTGGAACCAGGATGTTCCTGGGTCCTTGAGGGAATCCCTGTCTCAGTTTTGCCTCTTCTTTGTTCCGGTCAGTCTTAATGGTAGGTATGGTTTGCGCATATTGCTGTCATGTGTTTGTGTGTGTTACTGTCACAGGCTTGTCCTTTTTTGCCCTGAATCTGTCAGCAGCTGTTGTGTTGGACAGTAGGCTGACGAACGTACGGAACCCTTAGAAATGAGACAATCACAGTTATATTATTTTTCTATTTTCCATTTCTGTCGGGGGCGGGGTGGGGGGGGGGGGGGGGAGGAAGTGAGGGAGAAAGAATATAAATGTCGTGCCTGAAAAAATTAATGCCCTGCTTTCAAAATGTTCTACGCTGTGTTGTGCAGATACTGATTTACCATTCCCATTACAAGATATAAGATTTTGCCTTTGTTTACTACATATGTACCTTTTTTATCTTTTGTACTGATTTTTGTATTAATTGATTACACACTTTTTCACTTCTGTGGCTACTGAATTTATTTTAAAAGTCCCGAAAAAGCTATTTCCTTTTTTAACTATAGTAAAGATAATATACTGCTAGATGGTTCACTCTCTGAGCGATAAATGCTGCCTCTATGATGGAGGCACATTTCTAGATGTCACCACCAGTGCCACTAAAAATCTTTCCTTTCTCTTCTGAAATACAAGCCATCTTAGCTCTGTCTTTGCTTCTACCCTTTGTACACAAGATTTGTCGCTCCCTAAGAGTAGTATTAAGCATGCAAAAATAAAGAAATCGGCATCTGTATTTTTGGAAACTTGTTTTTTGTGTTTGAAATAAAATGGTGAGCTAACTAGCTTTTAGTATATATGTTTGGGCTTAAATATGGAGAAACCTATTCACTTATCAAAATTTTTTTTTTTGCTCTGATTTATAGCCAGGTTGAAGCTTATTATTATGTCAATGGTGTTATCAGTTCTATTACTCTCTGAATACTTTTATGTAATGCTAAAAAGTTATATTGTCTTGCTTGATTTGCATAAAGGTTATTACTTCCTTTTTTGTTTTGTTACCATGTGTGTGATTTGTGTATATTTAAGAGATGTGTGTCATGTCTCTTCTGTCTTGTTTTCTCAGACAAGGTGAACAAAAAGTTTGTAGAACAAGCTCAGAACACCCCAGGTTTCTACCCCTTGGAATATGTCAATGAAGCTCTAGCAAATGGATCAGTTCACTTTCCATCACCAACTCGCACTTTCTTGTCTCATTTAGAAAGGTAAGTTCTGAAAGGGGGGGGGAGGGGAAAAAAGGGAGGGAGGGATAGAGAGAGAGAGAGGGAGGGAAGGAGAGAGAGAGAGAGACAGAGAGAGAGAGAGAGAGAGAGAGAGAGAGAGAGAGAGAGAGAGAGAGAGAGAGAGAGTCCTTTCTTTACTCTATCCCATACCTGCCAACCCTACAGAAAAAAATCGGTAAATCACCGACTTTTGGGTCAAACTACCGATCCACCGATTTTGAGATGAAGCCACCGACTTCGGGATTCAGCAGGGTGACTGCCAGGCCCCGGGAATTAGAGAAAGTCAAATATTTGAAAACCAAAATCCGATAACGCCCGAAAGTTCATTTTTGCCGGTCGCGATTGTGATTCATTCGGCTCCCTCGAGAGTATGTTTCTTCACGCAGACAGGCGGCTATGGTGGCAAGCGGGTGTGATACAGACGTTTGATCGGATAATCAAGATATACTTTCACTTTCGTTACCACCCAGAAATTTGCTGGTAGTAGTTTGATAACGCAACATTAATTGTAACAAGATGCAGGCTGTGCATGGCAAACGCTGTGTCGCCTTGAAAATAAATCAATATTTGTGCTGTGCTTTCACTTGTGAAAAAAAAAAAAAGAAAAGAAAAGAAAGTTATAGTTATACAAGCGTCTTGTTGGGTTCGCCATTGTGACCGGTCAATGAACTTGCGCGTTCCATCACATTATGAGCACGGGAACTTGTAGGGGTCACCAAAGTTCATTCAAAGTCTGAGCGCTGCGTAGTATAGGACTCCAGAATGGGGGGAGGATTATTTTTTTTAAAGATACACTCGGGGGGGGGGGGGGATGAAGGCAACACCAGGGGACAAAAACTGAACTTGGAAGCAGATTTTAGTATTCTAAATTTTTGATTACCTCTAGATCTAGAAATCTCTCTGCAAAACGCGTGTTGGTGCAGGCCTTGTGTGGACTCGGGATCCGTCATACTCTTTCCTTGTAAACTCTGCAAAGACAAAAGGCCAAGGCTAGGCCTAAGTCTTCCAAGGCCCACCTTTTCTTCATTTTTTCTTCTTTGCTTCTGTTTTTTTATTTTTTTTTTTTTTTTGGGGGGGGGTGTGATTTTTTTGGTTTCATTTGTGTGTGTGTTCGTGCAGGTATGAATAGGACAGAAACTGCACCAACTACTAATAGGGTAAATGCCTCTGGTAGTTTTCATATTTGTCATTTTTTTTTCTTTGTCATTTTCTACATTTGTTTGAAGTCGCAAACACAATCATGCATATTTGATGTGGGTCAAAATAAAATATTGATAAGGGTCCCAAATTAAGTATGCGACAAGAGGTAATATAGTCTACTACAGATTTTTTAGGTCAACTACAGATTTTTGGACAAAAATTTGCGTCCAACTACAGATTTTGGCCCAGGCAATGTTGGCAGGTATGCTATCCCTACTCTTTGTATCAGTGGATGTTAGGCTGGTTGAAATCTCAATTTTTAAATGCTCTCCGTGCTTTCTTTTCCTTACTATTATTATCAATTGTATTTATTGAATTGTACTGTTAAAAAGTTTTGATCTTGATCATGACATCATTTCTGTTGTGATTATTACGGTCACTAATTTTGAGGGTTGTTTTTAATGAAATTGTTACATGTGTTGCAGCTGGCTGAGAGACAAGCACCAGCGAAGCACAGCCATCGAATGCATGTTCCGACCAAGAGCCGAGTTTCGCATCCACCTCACCGTGCACAACCCGGCGTTCATTCCCAGCCGCATCACACCAGAGGGCGAGGGGGCCAGCAGTAGTAAGGTGGCCCAGTTACCGCCCAAGATCCAGCTGACGGCCAACGAGGCCTTAGCCAAGATGTTGGCCATTGAGAAATGTGATACGGTTGTGATGAATCCTCTGTTCGGCTCCGGCCTGCCTTATAAAACTAAGGTGAAGTAGTTAATCATCATCATCATCAAATTCAAAATCTTCTACCAACTAAAAATGTTCAGCATGCTCATATGACCTTATGTAGTTGCGAGCGCCGTAAAATACTCTCCAAAAGCACTTAACATGAATTTTCCTCACTTCACCCATGTGGAAATGGGTACTCTGCAAAAATTGTTGTCAATTTCTTAAGGTTTGAGCGCTTTATCTGCTGCTTACACTGTATGCTCCCTGAAAAGTGGAGAACATTTTGTAGTGTTCTGGGGTCTGCTGGAGTAATAATTAATAATAATTGTAAAGTGCAGTTATTATTAAATTTGCATAATGATTTCTTTATACAACTGATTGTTGATTCTTTGAATGGACTGTTCATATTTATATGTCAGTATGACTAACCTAATGTGTCAGACTGAAAAAAATTCTTTGAGTCATGTAAAATGAATATGAACAGGGTAGATTTGGCCTGAAGATGAATTTTAGTATTAATTACAGCGTTACTTTTATTTTCTTTTTAGTTACACGTTTTTTTCCCCTTCTGCAGGTCAACTCCTTTGAAGTAAATGACCACTGGCTTCGTATGCCCAACTATCGCAATATAAGCATTCCTTCACCGCCGCCAAATAACCCATCGTAAGTTGTAACAGTTATTTGACCTCTGGAGACTAGCTTTCAAGACGTGTTTTTATTGCATATTTATGAAAGGATTTAACTCATTCTCTGCCCATTTTTACTACAGCTTTTCACAATTTTATCTTTGCAACTGACAGTGAACGATAGGTGGGTATGTTTGTGAAGGATTTTGAGGACTAAACGAAATAATAAATATAAAGTGTTAAACATATTTTCAAATGTAATAAAACGACGTATTCAAATATGTAAATAAAATTTTTATTTGGCAAGGGAGATAATAGATACGTGTCGGTGAACACGCACAACACAAAGGAAAAAATAAAATGACAACAAATATTCTACTTTGAGTATGAAATTGGTGGGCGTGGCCATGCTTCTTGTTTTGGTTTCACAAACACAAAAACTCCAACAAATTCAACTTTCTCTCCATTTACGACGCTACTGGTGCGATATATTTTGTCACAGGAAGTTCCCTCTATTTAGATTCATTAATGTTGAAACTAAAAATTTAGGATAAACCGTTTACGAACTAAATAAAGTTTGTCAGTTTCCTGTGCCAATATATCGCTAATGGGCGAAAATGGTGCGGCCGGGCTGCCGATATATCGGTAATGGGCAGAGAATGAGTTAACCTGTTTTGATCAAATTATATAGCAATTATATTGGACTTGAATTCATAATGTAAGATTTTATTTGTTTTTTGTTTTTCAATATACTTTAAGATTTTGTGTACGTTACTTTGCTTCTTCTTCCACTCTCCCTTTTTCCATTTTTTTGCCTCGTGCATGCAACAAAAGAAATATTTTTGAAACACTTTTTGTGTCTGGCCTTTCACATAACCATTTGTTTACTCTGTGTAATAATTGCAGGCATACACATCAACCCTTCTCCGTAGGAAAATCCAATTTGATATGTTAAACAACTTCTGAATGCACAAATGCACATCCTTGTCAAACTGTCAGTTTAAATTTCATTTTTTCAGGGCTTCCCGATGGAGAGAGAAATTCCCTCTGCATGCTTTTGCAGCTGCAGGGGATAAAGAAGAAGTAGGGATTCTGCTCAAGAAAGGGTACAGTCCCTCAGAGACAGACTCAAACTCTCTTGCACCCATTCACTACGCAGCTTGGTAAGATATAAAGTGATTTGCTGTATTTTATATTGTCAGTGATTTGATTTTCCTTTTTCCTTTTGAAGATTGTTATGGAATCATAAGTAAATTTATTCCCATTTTTATATACTGCTCTAAATACTTTGAAAACATGTACTATAAATATAGGAATGGTTTTTGATCTAGTCAAATACACAAAGAAATAAGTCAGTACATTCAAATGAATTTCTTATATTCATTTTGTAGGAATTTGAGAGTGATTTGTGTGAAAAGTATGAAAATTCTGGCTCATCGACTTGATCATGTTGGTCAGTATGAAGTAACTTTTACTGTGTTTTGATGTAATTTCATTTGTTGAATCAATTGATTGGATGTCCATCTCTTAACTGTTTAGAGGGTTCCTAGGAAGTACAGAAAGTTCCACCTAAGATCCCGGTGCTTGGAAGCCAGAAAAATATGGGATCTTAGGTGAAGTTAACCTCTACTGACTCATCTGGGGAAGTGGTCAGGGTCACAATTGATAAAATGGTCTCCCCTTATTTTGAAATAAAGCTGACATGACCCTTGGGTGGGTTTATGACATATGGTGAGAAAAGAGTGGTTAACCTTGACGACTAATCACGATGGCATGAGGCATGCCATTTTCATTTATCCAATCGTGAGTCTCAAGATCCGTATCGATCTCATTGCTCTTTCCTTTCGCCTGTCCCAAATTTATTAAGTTCCATCTCTGACTGACTTCCTTGCTCATGTCGTAACACACCACTGTGTTTTGACCACACCAGTAATGATCCAGTGTGGCTAGCAAATTTTGGCGTAAAGATGAAAGACAAATGCAATGGTCTGGGAAACAAAGCATTGACCAGGCCACAGGTATATGTGATCTCGTCTGATGTGGCCTTGCAGGCCCTACCCACCTAGTGTACTGTGTGGTGTTAGTTAAGGTGAGAGGCTGGAATGCTTTTGGGAAAACACATGCAATAACGAGTTCATGCCTCTTTGTGATCCTGTGTTGACACTGTACCTACTCATCGACATTTACTATTGAGATGTGCAACTTGTAGTACAATGATTGCAAGTTTTCGCATGTTGGTTGATCAGTTACCTTAAATCATGATCTGAAACATGGGGTCTTAGCTGAATGAGCGGGATCTTAGGGGTGACTTTCATGTAGTACAAAATAACGAGATCGTAAGTGAACAAGGATTGTGAGTGGTGAGATCTTAGGCGGAGACTACTGTATTGTCAGGGGTTGACTTTAATTGGAAGGTACCTGCTCTAAAATTAGGGAAAGTATGAAAAGGCGGGTGGCCATAATATTCAAACTTCAATTGATCAGGTATGGCTGTATCAGTGTGGTGGAACAGCTCATTAGTGCTGGCTGCTCACCCAACACGGTGGACGGAGAGAACAGCACACCTCTTCACATGGCCGCCAAGAAGGGCAATGTACAGCTGGCCCAGTGTCTGCTGCGAAGAATTGACATAGATTTGGTGAGTGCTGATTGCAACCATTGTGGAAAATGTTACTCTTTCAGAATTGGTCTCATCGGCTGTAGCAGAAGCCACAAGTCATCCTTACCTTTAATTCTTCGAATTCTTCTACAATGCTTGAGAAATATTCTCCTCTCTGGATGTATTGGTCATCGTCAGACTTTGACAGACAAACTATTATTATTATAATGATCGGAAAGATTGATGATTGTATTGACAGGTATTTGTTGCATAATTTTGATGTACTTCGTAAAAATTTAAAAACAGCTCTGACAGGAATATTTCAAATACATCCTCAGGTTGCTGCCCTGTTCTATTTTTTGTATTGTTGATTGCATGTCTTTCAACGAGTTTTTAATAGTCTTTGTGGACGTATGTTTTGACCCACTGTAATTTCTTTATTTGTAAGTTTTAAGTTATACTAGCTTTTATTGACGTTGTCTAGAGATGCGTACTGTCTAAGAATGCGTACTATTTTGATTGTTATGTGCTGTCCACGTTGTTAATTGTGTTAATAAAAGGTGATTTCATTGTAATACAGAACATTCGGGACAAAGATGGGAAACGAGCCATCGATGTTTGTTCGACTGTGCATAACCGTACCTCACGCCATGAGCAAGTTGAGCAACTGATCAAAGATGCAGCTCAGAGACCTGTAAGTGCCGAGTTTTTAATTATAGCGAGAACATTGCACCTTTTTTTGTGTGGTTGGTGCACTAGATCTGAATTGATGTTGTTTTTAGTCAGGACACAACCCTCATTTCTATACAGTTCTTGGTTCATCAGGGGAAGAAACTGTTGATTTTTTTCTGTTCTTTAGCACTTACTAACTTAACCCTATCCATACGCCCTGGGGTCATTTTGCACCCCCAGGGTTGTATTCTTCACATTTTTTAATACTTCTAGTACGAAGATCTCTTTGAAACTTTCAGTATTTCTCAAAAAATCAGTTTGACAGACTGCTATGTAAAGCGTATGGATCAGATTAACGAGTAAATTTCCTCTTTGGAAAGTGGTGGCATAGTGTTCCCCTCGTCGTATGGATACGATAGTAAAGCACGACGTACGGATAGGGTTACACAGATGGTTGAAAAGAAAAGACAAGAATAGCACATTTTTATTTTTGAGCATCCTAGCAGAAAAATGAGTGATGAACCATGATTACCGATGTTTTGTTTCAGGTCTGACACGTGATAAAGAGGAAAAAGCACCTACTATATTAATGCACGGCACACTTTTTGTGTTGTAGTTTTCAGCTGATCCATGGATATTAGAGATAAAGAAGTGTATCAAATTCGAAAGCAAGTTAGGTGAAGTGGAAGTTTGAATGTGTTTTCTGAATTAGCCAGTGCTTATTTTTTTTTTTCACTTTCGAAAAAGATTTGACATCGCTGTTGTCTCTGTAAGTGTGGTCTATATGTCCGATGATTAAATCTGAAGAAAAAAGAAGTAATGGAACATTATCTCTATGACTGAAATTGGGAAATGTTGGAGCACTTGGATACAGGAATTTTAAAATTTGTCTCTGTGTAATCTTCTGAGCTGCCATTTTATACCTGTCTTTAGCTCAGTGGATTTTGTACCCTATACATGTTATGAACTCTGTTTTTTTTGTGAAAAAATACATTTGCACTGACATACTTTTTGTTTGTTTCCTCAGAACTTATCAATTGAAGTTTTTCTCATGGACAACAGCAGCAAAAGTCTACAGCTTTCCTCTGGGTACAAAACCACTGTCCAACAGCTGAATGAGCAGATGATGAAGGTATGCACGTTCGGTAAACTAACACAAGTGAATTGCACTTAATGTAAAGGTCGTATTTCGTAGGTCAAAATTTTTAAAGTAGTATGTAAAAATTCAAGTTTTATCATGAGAACTTATGGGGTATCTCTGGCTTTGTCAATCTTTAGCAGTCACAAATTGATGTAAGAAGTTGTTGAAGTAAAAAAAGAAAAAGAAAGTCCTTCCTGCAATTAACAAAATGCTTTTTTATGCCAGAATCTTTTGAGCTTTCAGACCATGGGTATTGAACATTCTTTGGACATTATTGCATGTTAGACGGGGGGAGGGGGGGCTCTCGTGGCCTAGAGGTTAAGGTGTTGGCCTCTCATTCAAAGGTCCCGGGTTCGAATCCGGGTAACGACCGACAAATTTTCTTCTCTAAAATTGTCTCCTTTCACCTCCTTTCCTGCTCTCTAGCAATGTTCTGTTGTCTGCTTTCATTTCCACTTTCTGCCCCCACCCCCTCACCTCCTTTGCCCCCTCCTCTGGGCTCCTGACTCTTTCTGCAGCCTTTCTACTGCTACTCCTCTGCTTCTCCTTACTGCTGTCTTTCTGCCACACCCCTGATCTTTTGGTAGGAAAGATCTACTCCTAGCCTTCTCCCAAAAGGCGAAAAATCTTGGAGGGCCCGTGTGCAAGTTGCGCACGTTAAAGATCCCTTGGTGGTCTAAAATTGATAAGAGCAGGCTTCGGCCGCCACCCGCGCAAAATTCAAAATTTCCTACCAACTGAAAATATTAGGTGTGTCCCGCGCGCTCATATGACCTTATGCAGTTGTCAGCGCCGTAAAACACTTCCCCCCCCCCCCCAAAATACATGTTATAAAGAATGGCAAACCTCTGTCAGTCCCTAAGTGCTTGGTTATGTAATGTTCTTTAGAATCTTAATGTTTTTTTCTATGATTTTCTTTCCTGCAGGAATTTAACCTGCCCATGAAGTACTCCGACATCTTCACTCTTTGGATTTGTTCTAAGAGTTTAGGTAAGAAAGTGTGCTGCCCTTGGAAAGTTGTAGTGTCACTCATTCATTTCACATCTATTTTCCATTAGTTTATCGTTTACAGTCTTATTGTTTCTTATTTGAGGAACTGTGAACTGGTGACTGAATTTTCAACTTGCAATTTATTTCAAGTTTTGATATTAAACTAAAGAAACTGATGTACCAAGCCCCTCCCCCACTCTCTCAAGCACACTTCCCTTCCCCGTTCTGCAATTGTAGTGTAAACAAGCGAAAGTGAAGACTGGAAAAACACACTAGAGGCAAAATAAGAGTAAGTGAAGAACACGAAAACAGGCTGGTATGTTATTTTGTTTTCAATGTCTACCAACTTATTATTGGAATTAATTTATTTGGAATTATGGGAGTAAGGCAGTCCTCAGGTTATATATAATAGCCTTCTCCTGTTTAAGTACAGTAATGAATATGGTGGGTTATGTGGAATTTGTTCCTATTTTTCCATTCTTTGTCATTACCAACTTTCAACAGACTCCTATTGTGTGGGTGTGTATAATTGGCTTGTTGGGAGTGATATTTATTGGTCCTACTTCTTAGCTATCCATTTTTATTTCGGTCTGTTGTAATACTTTCATTCCATATTTGTATTGTCTTCAACAAAGTCAAAAGCGTCTGATGTAATGGTTTACGCTCTTCGCTGTTGCTCAAAGAAGGTATATGTGTTTGATTCTTGTTGGGAAGTTATTTTATCAGGTATCCTTGTCTGACTACAGGGATCTTGTATCTCACTCAGCCTGGATTGGCCCCAACAGACAGTTTGGAAACAACTTTCCTCCTAAATTATCTGAGTTGTGTTGGTTGGAATGCAAGCTTTGTACAATCAGCAATGTAAGATAAATATGATGTGAATTTTCAACATTCCAGAGCTGCAGCTGAAGCTTGAGCATGAGGTTGTGAAGGAGCTGCAGCAGTGGCATACACGCAGCGTGAACATGTTGACCGAGGCCCGCAACCCCTCGGAGGAGGAGCCTTCACTCAAGTGGAGGAGGAATGTCAAGGTCAGCGTGGACAAGGAGAAGCAGGTGAGAATTTTCTACATGACATCATGGTAGTAACACAATTGCCATAATAATTTTTTTTGATTTTGATAAAATCTTAAAAAAAAAAGAGTGCTTACCTTAGTCAACCGTATGACATGAGCAAATGTGAAAATGTCTCAATAACAGATTTTTTAAGAATGTGAAACAATATCCTGCTATACTGAGGGTGAGAAATGTGTAACAGGTGTTCTTACAGTACCAAAGACGAGAAACCGAAGAAAAAGACTTGGGCAATTCCGTGAAGCATGATGATCTGAAGTATAGACAACATTTTCGGAATATGCATGTGCATAATTTTGTTGTTATCCTTCTTAGAAAAGTTTAATGGAATTTCTGTAAGTATGATCCATGTCTCATTACTTAGACTTTATTTCTTTCATAAAGACTACGGGTTGAGAAGTGATGGTGACTTTTGAAAGCTGTGTTTGATAAATGAATAAAGGTTTGCACAGAGAATGAAGCCAGCCTATGAATCACACTGAAAAAGCCTTCTGTCGAACCTTTCCCCAATACAGAAATATGTGGTTCCCAATTAAGCCTCAATTCTTTTTTTTACAGGCAGTGTAATATGTTTTGTTTTAGGCGCTGTACAGTGCATCTAAGCATGTTTACTGTATTATTGTTGTGAAACCTTGGTCATCAGTACAATTGAGGCAACTGAAGTAATGTCTTACAATTGACCATTAATTTAAAAAATCGGATATGTCATGACGTTATCTTTTATCAGGTTCAACATCCAAAGGCACTAGACCTACTATTCCACGAGGCCTACTACAACTACATCAATGGCCTCTATCCGTGCAAGGACCGGGACATTGTGACCTTTGCCTCCATCATCTTTGCCATACAGCACCACGGGACTGGGAGTGTCAAGTCCGTTCTTTCCACGTGAGTCATGCTAGATTTGTGCTGGACCCACGAAATGTTTTTGCTATTGAAGGGTTAAATAAAATAAAGGGTCTGTGTCACACATTGTTTAAAACAGAGTTCCAAGAATAATGATACATGGCAGGGGAGATTATAAGACATAGAATTTGAATAAAATGACTGGGGAGCTTTAATCAGTTAGTTCCTGGGGATTTGTCCTTATGCATGTACATGCCTCCAAATTCCGTGAAAGGAGAGATAATCCCCGAAAAATATCATAGATGTTTAAAAAAAATTCCATTAAAAACATTATTTACAAAATGATGTGGTTAAAAAAGTGCAACGATGTTAGGAAAAGAGTTTTACTTCCAACGAGCCAGCCAGTTTACAGTCTCAGCTGCAGTACAGTATGGGAAAGTTATTTATTTCTCCTATTTTAGTTTTGACTACCGGGTTTTCCTTCATTACCCTTCTGTTTCGTCAAAATTAAGAATATCTAAATCCTCTAGTGATTGAAAAATATTACGCTAGACAGAAGAATTAACTTGCAACCTGTCTTTGTTTGGTTGAGATTACTTCATGTGCTGAATTTTTATGTATTTTCAAATTTTCCTTGGATTTGTCCAGCACACCCTCTATTTTGTTATACTTACTATAAATATTCACACTCACTATGTCTTGGTAAATTTCAACCATTCAAAAGCTCAAAGAAAGAACAACTGTAATTTCTCTTTTTAGCCTTGTTTTCTGTCTGTTCTGATTGGACATTCTTCTTGCCTAGACCTCATAGAAATGCTTATCACGGCAGTGTCACGCGTTCAGGGATTGAAACGCCGTGCAATGCAGATCTAGGTGTGAATCGATAGACTCAGGGCGATGCTGCTGTCAGTGTTAAATGGTTAAACCAGAGTTGTTGTCTTTAGAAATTACCCAAACTCTGTATCATGCTTATGTCCTGCTGGTTTTTTTTTTTTCTTGAAGCCACCTCAAGGGGTCTTGGAGCCTTTATTTTACTGACCCTTTCTATTCTTATCAGGTATTCGTTTTCACCAAATGGTGCTACCTTGTGAACATTATGGCTAATGATTTTTGCTGTGTATTTATTTTTAGTGCACTCTATAAATTTTCAGTGTGCTCCATTACTTTAACAGAGCTGGAATGTGCTGTGTGCTGTAAGTACGGTCGGTCTCAGACTCGCTCACAAATGCATGCATTTCTCAAAAGGATACTACCTCTGAAGTTTTTTGTTATTTTTTACTCCTAGACAGAAGTATAGGTTTAAATTTTCCAGCGTTTAAATGACAGTTATTTTGTCGATGTGCTTTTTTAGAAACTTAAAATTTGTTTTAAAACATGCTCCTGTGTTTCAGTCTAAACATGGGCCAGCTGAAGGAGATGATCCCTGCTGCCTCACTGAGGAACAACCAGCTGAGCCACTGGATCAAACAGATCTCTAAAGAGTACAACAATGTCAAGGACATTCCACAGCAGGTGAGGTGAAGGGTTGTTCTCTTCAAAAGGATGGGTTAGGTAGGACAGTGAAAGAGAGAGATTTAGAGAAGAAGTGAGTAGTTCACAAGTGCGTAAGGTCATATGAGCGTGCGGGACACATTAAACATTTTCAGTTGGTAAGAAATTTTGCTCGGGTAGTGGCTGAAGCCTACTCTTATTGATTTTGGACCACCAAGGGATCTTTAACATGTGCAACTTGCACATGTGATGTCAGAGATTTTTCCGCCCTTGTCTGAGAAGGCTAGGTGTAGATCTTTCCTTTCATAAAAACAGGGGTGTTGCTGAAAGACAGGGTAAGAAAGAACGAAGGAGTAGCAATAGAAAGGCTGCAGAAAGAGTCAGGAGCCCAGAGGAGGGAGCAAAGGAGGTGAGGAGTGGGGGCTGAAAGTGAAGACAAAAGCAGATGACAGAACATTGCTAGAAAGCAGGAAAGGAGGTGAAAGGAGACAATTTTTTTAGAGTACAACAATTTCCACGCTATCTGGATTCGAACTCGGGACCTATTGAATGAGAGGCGAACATCTTTACCCCTAGGCAACGAGAGCCCCCGGTTTTGTGTTTGTCACATAAGAGAACACAAGGAGTTTGAAGGTAGCCCTGAGAAATATAGGATAAATTTGATAAATTATGTTTTATGTATACCTCCTAGGGAAATTTGTTCCTCAGAGGTGTACATAAATACCCTAATACATCAATACATTAATGCATGAATAGTACATAATATCACAAACATAGACAATCGACACACTATTGCCGGTCGCCACTGTGCAGCACCCTGCTTTTTGAGCTAGGGTTATCATGTCTTGGTTAAGGACACACCTCCGTGCCAAGTCACCTAAACGCTGTGTCAATTGTGTTTTGAAACTGGGGCATGCCATGACTTTGCAACAGATACCTCTGAGAGGGTGCAGTCGCACTGGATATGAGAGCATGAAAAGTGAAGAGGAAAACATTGCATGCTCCCGCACGCACGCGCGTGCCTGCATGTGTGTGTTCGTGTGTGTGTGTGTGTGTGTGTGTATGTTGTACTTGTGTGTGGTGTTTTTTGTTTTACTCCCCTTTGAATGCAGTTGAGAATAATTATGAAACAGCACTTCAGGTGTATGTCCTATTCTCGTTAGTTTGTATGAGAGCTTTTAAAGCTCTGTAAACTAACTATGGTTTGTAATCTGAATCAATTCTGTGTTGTTTGCAACGTAATCCTGTACCTTACCGAGTCAACAAGGGTGCCTACTCCTTGTACCTCTGTGACTGTTTTAGGAACAACTTCTGTGAACAAGGCCCTTCCTAGGTTATTGAAGCGCCATATGCCCTATCTCTTGTCTTAAAGGAAGTATGTTTTCTATTTGTCAATGTATTTATCTATCTTTTAAGTGGTGAGTGTGGGTGGTTGGCGGATTCTCTGGTGTGGTTTACTTCTTCTTTCCTATCATACATCTATCGTCCTTATCTCCCTCCCCTTCTTCTTTTTTATGTTTGTTACTCTCTTGTAACAGCTCTAATCTTCTACCCCCCGGGGCAGTGCCACTAACTGAAGTGTCTTTAGGCCATTCCCAAAGGGGGGACATATCTCGTTCAAGCATAGTAGAATTGTAAATGGGCTGACTCATGTCACGCTCATAACTGTGCCTGATCTACAACAGGGAACTGCTGCTTTTTCTTTCCTGATCCTTACTATTGTCATTTTCCTCTACTTCTTTTGTATGTTTGTCACTCCCTTGTGACCTGCTATTTTGGGGTGCCTTGATAGTCGAAGCAGACCTTGTGCTGTTGAAGCTAGAGAGGTGAGCAGTCTAAGTCTGATTCCCTGTAAAGACTTCTCTGTTGACACCCACCCCTTGGCGCTCATATGACCATAGGCAGTTGCGAGCTCCGTAAAACCTCTACTAAAACTAAGTGGTGAGTGTGTCTGGTGTAGCTGCTCTATGTTGCGTCTTGCATATCCGTTTGTTGATAATGATATCAACAGATTGTGTTGTTTTAGTGCATATCCCGAATAGAAAGCAGACTGTATTGGCTTTACAATTTTTAATTTCTGTCTTTTCTGAGTTGTTTTTTGTTTTTGGAATTTACAAGTTCATATTTTAGAGAGTTGTTGCTCTTACGGCTTGCAGAGTTTCTTTGCCCCGGGTGACCTTTGTGATGTCTGTTTAATTTGTCAGTTATCCTCAAGAAATGTAAAGTTGCTGTTCTCTTATAACTTATCATGCTCATTTAATCTATTGCATCTCTACAGCAACTCAAGTCACACTTTCTAAGCATCTGCCAGCGTCTGATGGTCTATGGATCTGCATTCTTCACTGGCAACATCACGTCACATCAACGCAAGGTGTGTATCACTTTTTCTTCCATATGTTTATATGTGACAGTGGAATGGTAACCGACATAAGAAAATTTCAGTAACATTTACCAAATTTTGTGTAGTGCTTCTTCGAAAAGTTTTCTTATTCCTTTGTAATTTTTATTAATTTTACCTGTTTGGTGGGAATGTGGAAACTGCATTAAAAAAAAAAATCTGCTATGTGTTTCATAAAGTAGGTCTGATACAGTTGAAAGTGTTTCAAGATGGCCACCTATTGTTATGGTGAAGAGTGGTAAAAGTTGGACAGATGGACATCTTGGAAAGTGTCAGTACAATATAAAAATATGGGAAGGGGTAAAAATGGAAAGTGGTCATTTGTTCAGGTGATTGTCTTGGACATTTATTTTACTTCAAAAGATGTGTTTGTTAATCATTGTGGTAATGTGCCCGAAAGTGACTCTGGATTATGTTTCAGGTCGAATAATGGTAAACACAGATTCTTCTTTCTTTATGTACCCCCCGGGGCTGTGCCACTGACTGTAGTGTCTTTAGGCCTTTCCCAAAGGGGGGACATTTCTCGTTCATCCACAGCAGAATTGTAAATGGGCTGATTCATCTTGTCACGCTCATATCTGCCTGAACTACATCAGGGAACTGCTGCTTTTTCTTTCCTAATCCTTACTATTGTCATTTTTCTCTACTTCTTTTGTATGTTTGTCACACTCTTGTGACCCGCTATTTCCGGGGTGCCTTGATAATGGAAGCAGACTTTGTGCTGTTGAAACTAGAGAGGTGAGCAGAGTGAGTCTGATTCCCTGAAGAGACTTCTCTGTTGACACCCACCCCTTGGCGCTCATGTGACCGTATGCAGTTGCGGGGGCCGTAAATCCCTCTACTTAACTATATGACTTTCTTTATGTGGAGCATCTTGCTTTCCCTGGCTGCCTAAGACCATTCTTTTCCAGACGTGTTTGCTTTTATTAATTCAACACCACGCCTTTTGGAAAAAAAATGTACTGTGCTGTCCACTGTTGTAACCCGTTGTCTTACGTTCTAATTTTAGTGTGCTGTAAGCTTTTCAAATAATTATAAGACTTTTCATTCCTCTTGCAGTAAATTTTGTGTTTTGCCCGAAAGGGAGATTTTCCACAGTAAATCATTTTTCCTTTGTCCTCAAGAGCTATGTTTGATTATATTGTTGTATTGTTGTGAGGGATTTTTCTCCTGTCTTATTTTTTTTTTATGCTGTCTCTTTTGCTTGCTTTTTTCTAACCCCACTTATTAAACAAACTTCGTCCTTATTAACTCACAAAAAACCTGTGTGCTTTTCAGTCATCCATTCCTAGTGCCCCCTGCTTTGTCGGGGTCAATGACCTGGGCATACATATCATCAACATCCAAACTAAGGTAGGTCGGATCATGTGCAACACACATTTGGTCCACGATTCTGTATATTCATTATTTGGTTCTTTTTAGCTCTCTTTAGATTGTTTCCAAGGGGAGTTTGTTGTGCACCAAAAATATAAAGTACAGGAAACAGTCTGCCGTGGAAATGGTCTAAAGGAATATATTTTTTTTTCATTTTATAGATCTTTGACAGTATGTTTATATTACAACCCCCATGAGCATCACTCGGCAGAAGATGACAATAGATGAATAAGAACATACATGTACAGTTTGTTACAGCCTGTCTGCCATATCTGGACTGTTTTCTATGGTTTGTAATTAAGATTTTAGTAAATGTGTCACAGTGTGGAGTGCCTTTAATCAACGTTTTAAGTAAAAACCACATAGAAATGGGTTCTTAAATGGACATAAAAGGTGTTCAGCCCAAAAATCAATTTTCAATAAAAATTGCCTAACTGGGGGGGGGGGGGGGGGGAATGCCGATTTCTTCAATTTCATTATTTTTACAAGTGCCTGATTTCACTACGCTGCCTGACAAATGATCTTTGAGCAGGCTACTTTAACTTTTAGTTTCGTGGTTGTACTTAAAATACAGCAAGTCGTCATTTTCTTCCATGTCATAGTGTGTAGAAAACGGAATTATTTACCATTCTCAGCCCATTGTGATATGTGCATTAAGAAGTGTTTGTTTTTCAAGTACATGGACTCATTTGTACTTTGCTTTTGATTTCAGCAAATGGTGGAGTCATTAGAGTATGGGGAAATTGTGTGGAAACATATCTTTGAACGCTCTTTGTTAGAGGTGAGTAAGTTTGTCCAGTACTGGTATCATTGACTAATGTTTTACTTATTTATTGCTCAAGTCGTTCTAAATTTATGTGCATTTACTATGTTCTTTTTTTTTCATATGCTTGTACACTTTTGTGTGTCTTATGTTTGATAGTGAAATTAGACTGTTTTTAACAGACTGATTGCTCAACCTCTGATATTAGGCAGCTAGAGGTACAGTTAGTTTGTTTTTATTTGTAACTTAAAAAGGTTCTTAAACTTGAAATCAATGCTTGTTGTGTAACGGTTAGGCACTTTACTGTCGCATGCAGGAGGACCGAGTTTGAATCCAGAGTGGGGAGAAATTTTTATCACGTGTCTCGGTCTTTCCACTGGGATGGTGTGTTGTATCACTTTCAGCCCGGATTGTCCCTGACCGGCTGGGTTGGACACCCACCTCCTAAATGATCTAAATTGTGTCGATAGGGGTGTAAAATCATGTACATTATTAAATCAGACAGTTGAAGTCAGCGCTACACCTAGAAGTTGCTAACATTTCAATTGTGTGGTGTTTTTGTTCTTGTGTTTCAGGTAACTTTGATCAAGCCCGAGTCTCGAGATGGCCGCAGTCCACGGGGACTAGCCTCCAGGGGCGTCTATGAGATACGAACCCGTCAGGCGGGGCTCATAGATCATCTGATGCAACAGCTGAAGCGCATGCATGGGGACAATGTGGTCAGATGAACGGGGCTTGCAGGTTGTGAACAAGATGTAGTGGACCCTTCGTGTCTAAATGTGTGTGTGTAGGACTCGTATTGTTGAAGTGCAAAGATACATTGCCACTGATGTGTGCTGGATAAATTTTCTGTGGGATCCAGAAGTGGCTTGTGAATGGTTGCCGAGTGCTCTACTCTTTTCAAGTCAGTCAAGTCCACTTGGAGAGGAGCTATGAGGCCTTCCATTCGTAATAACAAACTGTTGGAAGTGGTGTAAAATAATGTGCTATATGACAGAACTAGGCTCAGCCTCCATAGATCTGTCTTCATGATGTTTTTATGCAGTGAAAATATTTCCTGAGAAGTACTTACTGTTTTCAATATATATTGTTTGACTGTACTACTTTTTCTAAATGCCAAAAAGTTTGGAATTTTCAGCAGATATCTAATGACTTTGGATACATTATGTGGGCGGGTACATGATATGGATTTTGTGGTTTGTCCTACTTGCATGGGATAATGCTCTGGGGACATGTGTTCTTTAAAATAATGAGTGACGTTAGCCCATGGTATAACTCTAGTTACAGAATAACTGCAGTTGATTGATGGTGAGCTTTGTCCAAATCAGTGTCCTATTTTGGAAATGAGAATAAACCAAAAAAGATTATAAATGACTGCTTATATGGAGAATTTAGCATGAAGGAAGAACTTACTATACTTTATTATATCTTGGACTGACTAGGATTTAACCGAAAGAAAAAGTGCATGATAGTGCTTGGTTGTTTGTGTCTGTTGGTTGGTAGAAAGTGAAAGGGACTGGGAGGGAGTTTCTTTTCTGAACTAAAATACACCCACTGTCTTTTATTTTGTCTTTCAGATGGGTATTTTTGACTTTTGCATCATGACATACCCCTTTCCTTACCTAATAAAATGTTAACAGGGCTGTTACTCTGGTTTGTAGTGCTCCTTATGGCACAGAAGGAATAATTGTATGGAAGCTTTTTGTCGCTACTTCATGTCATATCAAAATTTTCACTCCAGAGGGATGAAACGTCCCAAGTTCTTCTATTTGCTTGCAAAGGGCTCATCTGGTACTCATATAGAGGCTTTGTATAGAAGAGAGGCTAGTTTAATCTCAAATTATGTGATGGGTCTTGTCATCAGCATATATATATATGTGTCATGACGTGGTGGAGTTGGGTGCTCGTCAGTTTTTGGGTATGTCGAGTAATTGGCATCATCTTAAATATTGTTTACAGGTCTGTCTTCCGATGAAAAGATACTCATCTACCTTGAATAGATATGGAGATACTTGTGATTAAAGGAGCTGGGGATCGCCTTGTTTCAAAAGTTAAATTAGCAAGAAAATGGCGGCCAAATTTTGGCCAGAGTTTGAGTGTCCTTGAAAATTGCAAATTTGCTTTTTTCTTGTGCCTTTGATTAATGCTTTTCCAGTAAAGTCCACATAGAAATGTGTTTTTTAAATGGACATGAAAGGTGTTTAGCCAAAACCCAAAAATTAAAAATAAACGAAAACTGCCGAAAGGTTAGAAAAATGGTGGTTTCTTTGATTTAATTATATTATTTTGAGGAGAGCCTAATTTCACCACGTTGCCTCACATATATATCTATATATATATATAATGTACATATGGTGCTTGGAGGGTAATGTGGGAGCTCCTCTCCTACTCGGAAGGTTTGAATTGTAATTTGAATTGTAATATAGTCCTGGGCTCGCAATGTTTACAGTTATGTCATTGGTTTATTTTTCACTGTGTTTTTTTTAATTGTCAAACTTTATAAAGCGAAATGTGATTACCATAAAGGCCTGATAAATAAATGTATGGAATATACTCACTTGCATATATTCACCTTTTGCAAGGTGTTGTGGATATGAGGGTTATGTGTGAATGCAGTGCTTGTGACTGGTTGAGATGGTGAGGATGCATGTCGTCAAATACATTAGAAATACATTAGAAATACATTAAAAGTACATTGCATTAGTTCACGAGAGACTCTGCCTGGGATGACGCTTGAGGAAATTTGCTGTTCGTTTTCTTAAGCCTCAATCTCATCATGTTGTGATAAAGGATCTGTTTACGGTTCTGGGACTACTTCAAGTAAAACATTTTCCGAGACACTTAATGCATTGCTGCATCAAGAAGATGACTTTTTATTATTTTTAAAAACGCAATCTCAATGTAGGCCTATCATGCTAAAATTTCTGGAACTATGTTGTTTTAGTGTTGACCGACTTATGAACTTGTACGTGTTATGTGTTTGCATGTCGACTTTGAAACTGTTTTTAGAAATAAAAAAAAGTGTCATAATGATTAAGTTCCAACAGATATGCATTAACTCTGTCTGCCATGTGCCTTACACACACATTTTGTGTGATTTCATTATTTTTGTTTCTTGTCTGGTTACCTGTTCGAATAATGAGTTTTGATCCTATGGATACTTTAGGTATCAATATGTATAAGTTATGGTCCTTGCCTCTGTAGGTTATGGTGTAATATTTTGTTTAGAATGTAGGGGCCTGTACGTAAGACTGACAAGTTTTATTGTTGACTTAATAATCGTTTGACTTGTTTTAAAGAAAAATTGTTTATGTCAGTTTGATATTTCTTTTTATAACTGATGGGTAAAGATGCACAACTTTCTTTGTCGAGAAAAGCATTTGTTGTGTTGATGTAGTTTGTGGAGATTAGATTGTTCTAGTAATTTGAAATGTGTTTCTATCAGCAAATTGGTTTAGTGTATGGTAGAAAAAATATGCAGTGCTAAAAGTTCTGGTTGGTGTGTGTTCATATTATGATATTTGTGTGCGTGCGTGTGCGTACACCTTGTTTTTGTACACGTGTGTGTGTGAATGTAAATGAGTTTTTTTCAATAAGTGTGTATGTGAGAGTGAGTGAGAGAGAGAGAGAGCGAGAGAGAGAGAGCGAGAGAGAGAGAGCGAGAGAGAGAGAGAGAGAGAGAGAGAGAGAGAGAGAGAGAGAGAGAGAGAGAGAGAGAGAGACAGACAGAGAGAAAGAGAGAGAGAGAGAGAGAGAGAGAGAGAGAGTTTGCGTGTGTGTGTGTATATGCTTGCACGTGTGCGTGTGGGTGCGTGCGAGCGAGCTAGCATGCCTCAAAGTGTGGGTAGTTTTGTATATAGACTTCAATGTTTTTAAATTGCGTGAGCGAGGGCACATGCATTCTTTTAATGAACTATGAAATATTGAAATTGTGGTGAGTTTCATTTTCCATAATATTCTCAGATCTCACTCATGCGCTCTTCATGATATGATATAAGATAAGATAAGATACATCTTTATTGTCCAGATCCTGGCTCATTGGTTTGGTGTTTCACCACGTGTACACACACACATGCACACACACATGCACACACACACACACACACACACACACACACACACACACACACACACACGCACACTCACACAAAACGTGCTCACACACGCAGGCTTACAATCACCTGCATAACATAAATTAGCAGCAATATAAACAATAATCTCAAGCTAGATACATACTCTATGTTATTCTGATGTATGCTCTGAGGTCATGTGAATACTTACACAAGATGGTTAAGATGGAAGAATTTTGATGGATGATTGTAAAAATGACCTGTATCTTCCTTTGTTACAGATCAGATGCCAAGGTCTTTTACTTATGAAGTAATGTTTTTATTTGAGGGAACAAGGGATGTTTGTTGTCTGAGAAGATAGAATTAATTTTTTTAAACGGAAGCTGTTATGTACAAGTCATCCAAGTAGGGGAATGTAGATGTTGAAATTTTACATGCTTTCTGTATTAATCGTTTTAATTTGTCTTTATCTTGTTGTCTTGGGTTCCCGGCCCGTGCTGTTGAACAAAAATTGATCATACTTTCTATGGTTGAATGATAGAATATGGACTTCTATGTTTTATCAACTTTAACTCACTTACTACCACACCCTCAACTGCTGCGGGTAAAGTAGCACCGACGTTGTGATACCACACCCGCAACTGCTGCGGGTAAAGTAGCACCGACGTTGTGATACCACACCCGCAACTGCTGCGGGTAAAGTAGCACCGACGTTGTGATACCACACCCGC